TATACCAGTCTTTTCGAACACTGAGATAGTGGGATGTTCAAAGGATAGAAGAGGATTTAATGCAAATGTTTCATTGATGAATGACGGTTGCATTTCTGAAAAATACAAAGTCCATGCACGTTCTAAGACGTTGATAAAATACCTTGATCCACTAATATCACAAAGTATTGGGTATATTAGCGCGGAGGGTAATGTTGGTTACATATTTTGTACAAGCCAATCACAGTTCAACACGTGGCAAGATGAGGGCAATACGGGAAGACAATTCAAATCTTCAATCGTAATCACACACGTAGCAGTTAGTATTGGTTATTATGGATCTGCATAGCACTGGATCAGCAAAGAGATACAAGATGACGTGGCTTTAACCGTCAGCCATATATTCAAATTCAAAATCAAGAGGGAAGCTTAACTACAAACATGACGTAGTGGAGCTAACTGTGAGGAAACATGATCAGCGATCATAGAGGGATGATTCGACGGTTATCGACTCATTTCGACGGTTATCATTGAGAAGTATAAATAGCAGAGAAGACCCCAGAAAGAGCCCCAGACTCAGATCCAAAAAATCAGTTTTATCTACTTTATTTTCCTCCAGTTTTTACATTTCTTGTTCTTTACATTTCTGTACTTCAAATTCCTGCACTGTATTTCGTTCATAGGAGTAGTTTCGAATAGCTTGTTGCTGTAAACCTCTACAAGGCTGAATTGGATCGTTGTAAGTCTTTCATTTTGGCTTAATGAAATGTTACAATTGTTCTTCATTTAATCGTTGTTTGCTTAATTCTCCTGAACAAAGCCACCAGTAAAAATCCTCTTCATTGAGGCTGAAAGAACTAAAACACAATCGTCTGATAATTGGTTGGCAATTAATATTTTGTAAGAACTGATTGATCCTTGCTGGCACGCTTAAAATTACAATAATAATTTTCGAAAGCCAAAAAGCCAACAATAAGTTAGTCATTTCACAGAATGATGTCCTTACGGACATACTAGTTTAACGCTTGAACCTTTGGATAAAGAAAATTCAAAATTGGATTTATCGCCTGAGCGCTCTTGAAATATTTTAGTTAGTTTTTTAATTTTTTATAAAAGGAAATATGAAAAAATATAAAATTATGTAACAACTTGTAATAACTTTCTTTTTTATTTTTTATGTTTTTGATTAAAACAGTCTATTCTATATAAACCACGAGTTTAGTCCTATGCTAGATCATCTTATATTTATAATTTTAAATTTTTTCGGTTAAAATACCCTATTCGAATTTGAGAAGATGATGTTCGATTGTAGACCATAAGATGAGTGTTAGTTGTATAATTTAAATTAGATTGTTAAAATTATAAATAAAAATAAAATTCTTTTACCCACTAGATTAAACTTCTAACTTGACTGTAGAAAAAATAAAAATAATTTACGGAAAAAAAGAGTAAAAATTAACCAAATAAATAAGGAAAGGGACCCAAATGACCACTTGTTCTGTACAATCAAAAAATTGAATGCCAAAGACAGGGACCTTGGGGGGCCTCTTGTTCAAAGTTGTTGGGGGTTACAAATTGGATTGAGACTAGCCATGTTACACTAATTAATAAGTGAATTTCAATTGGCCTTATCTTTGTCTTTTGAAAAAATGACAAGAAAAGGACTATCAATGGTGCAGTTGTTGCCATGTCGCTCATGGCAGGGTACAACAATTTGATGCATTAAACTGTTGCCTAATGTTCCCTGAGGGCATGTTTGATCAATGGATTATATATATATATATTTTTTTTGCACTATTTAGTATTAATAATATGATAGGATTAAAGTCGGAATACTCCGTGCGAGCTGAAATGAGATTATGGCCAAGTTTGGCATGTGATCAAAAAGTCAAAAAAATTGTTTAAAAAGTTATTACTGTTCACCAAAAGTCAAAAATCACGGTTGCACAACTCCTAATACTAATTTTCTCCTACACACTAATGTATACAAGTTTTTAATACACATTTTTCTATAAAAAGTCAAAAAGTTAACCCAAACAATCATATTTTTTTCCTTAACTTTTTAGTTCAAAAAGTCAAAAAGTGCACTTATTTAGGATATCCCAAACAACCCCTATTATCTATATGTACTGTGAAAATATTTTTACTACATTTAACGATGCTGTTTAACTCAATTTTGCCAACCAAAAAACATGTTACAGAGGATATAATAATATGTAGGAGTAAGTCTTATACATATTATTATCAATTTCAATTTTTCTTTCAATTTCCTTTCAAGCCGTGTTTTAAAAATTGATGATATAGTCATTTAAGAGCATCTCCAACGGTTTACTTCTTTTTTCATCAAATCTGAGTCAAAAATGATCCATTTCACCAAATCTGATATCGCCCACTCCAACGGTGCATCAAATGTGCATCAAATGTCGTAGGGCGACCAGTTGGTCAACCGATGGGTCGACCGGTGGGTCGACCTGTATGCGTAAAATGCTATTATTTTTGTTTTACCCTTTTGAACAGTTTGAACCCAGCTTTCTGAACCGGGGAAGGGGGCGACCGGTTGGTCGACCGGTCAGCCTATATATATATATATTTTTTTTTTCTTTCTTTGTTTGTTTCCCTCCATTTCTCTTCCCAATTGTTTTTCCTATTTCTTTTTCCCTCCATTACATATATGTCTGCTATATGGATTATGCTGTCATATAAACCTATTATCCATATGCCAGACAAATACGATCATACCTTAAACAAAACAGAGCACCATGAATACCTTGAAATCCATGATATTTACTTCATTTTCATCCTCCTCTTCTTCCTCTTCCTCTGATGATGAGTCTGATGATGAATATATCGTCACACTTGTAGGAGCTTATGAGCAGAATAATACTAGTATGTTTCAGATTCTTAAGTCAAGTGATAGGTCAAAGAAGATAGGTGGTTCTATTGTAGGTCATAGATATATACACAGAGAAAGAAGGCAAGGTCATGACAGATTGTTTGCAGATTATTTTGCTGCAAATCCAGTGTATTCATCTACAATATTTCAGATACGTTTTCGAATGCGTCGTCCTTTGTATCTACGCATTTTGAATGCAATTCAAGCACACAATTCATATTTTGTTCAAAAACAAGATGCAGCTTATGTACTTGGATTATCTCCCCTACAAAAAATGACTGCAGTGATGAGAATATTATCATATGGTGTCGCAGCAGATGCAGTTAATGATTACATTCGTATTGGGGAAAGCACTGCAATTCAAAGTTTGCAACAATTTTGTAATTCTGTGATTGAAATATTTGGAGAAGAATATCTGAGATCCCCGACGCCAACTGACATTGCTAGATTACTTGCTATTGGGGAGGTTCGAGGGTTTCCTGGCATGTTGGGAAGTTTAGATTGAATGCATTGGGAGTGAAAAAATTGTCCAAAGGCACGGCAAGGTCAATATGTAGGCCATCAAAAAAAGCCAACCATTATTCTTGAAGCAGTAGTATCTTATGACTTATGGATTTGGCATGCATTTTTTGGAATGCCTGGCTCACACAATGACTTGAATGTGTTGGACCGATCGCCTTTATTTTCTGATCTTGCGCAAGGTAGAGCTCCCCCTGTCCATTACACAATTAATGGACATAATTACGATATGGGTTATTACCTTACTGATGGTATATACCCTCAATGGGCAACATTGGTTCAAACAATTTCTTCTCCCCAAAGAGCAAAGAGACAACATTTTGCAATGATGCAAGAGTCTGCCAGGAAAGATGTAGAGCGGGCATTCGGTGTCCTTCAATCTCGATTCACAATTATACGTGGTGCTGTACGTTATTGGGATTCGAAAATGCTTGCCAACATAATGAAGAGTTGCATCATATTACATAATATGATTGTCGAAGATGAGAGGGAGGGGCACCTTGATTTCAATTATGATATTGCATCAACCAACACACCAGTGCAACTTTCCTCTACTCCTACCAATGACTTCCAATCATTTCTGTCTTGTCATTTATGTATTAGAGATAAGGATGCGTATCATGCCCTCCGTAATGATTTAGTAGAACATATGTGGTATCTTTGTGGTGAACACTAAAGTAACCACATCAATACATGTAATTTTGGTTTATAGTTTGGAATTGAAGGTTCTCTTGTTTGTAATATTTATTATGATGCAGTATATGAACTAAGTAATTCAAAAGTTATGTGATAATGTCTTGTTATCATATTCAATCTTTAATATTCAGAATTGTGCAGTGTATGAACTAAGTATATGAACTAAGTAAAATGAAAATGATTTTCCTAAATTATGTGTTGATGTGCCACAAATGATAATACCACGTCCATTTATGCACATTTCATAATCATGTCTTAAATGGTACTTTAATAATAATATATTAAATTACTGATGGAAATGTGCATAATCATAATGTGTTCAATTATTGATGTTGACTTGCATAATCATAATGTCTTCTTTTATTGATGTTGATCTGCATACTCATAGTTTATTAATAATGTCTCATTTATGTATTCTTCACTCAAAGTCAATTCTTAAATTACTACATTGTTGTATACAAATTTATTGATCTTCAATTATTGAGCAACAAGTAATTTAATAATACCACAAATTTATTCAAATTTATTGATGTGGCATTGATTTACTGATATTGATATTCCCATTCATTTATTACCTCACTTAAAATGCATTCAACATACATAGTTAAAAAATACATAATAAGCCATTCATTTAGTTAGTAGATAAATTCATTCCACCTACAAATCATAATGTCTTCAATTATTTATGCACACATTGCATCCGTAATTTCCTCAACACCTACCATTCAATTTACAGACACCACCTATCAATGACACCTACCATTCAATTTACAGACACAACCTACCATTCATTGAATGCATGCCATCTACCATGCCTCATTTTTCATACGGCATATGGTTGTTGAGTAGTAATATCCTCACCACCTACCTCAAGAATGGAGCCTCTATATCAGCTCAAAAAACATGGCCAACCTTCACTGAATACCATTGCTTGTCTGTCCACAGATTGCCTCTAACAACACAGTCAGTGTATTCCTCTATCCACTATCTTCAAATTCGGCTTAACCAAAATCTAATCCCAAACTCTGCATATTCAGTGTAGTATAAGTGTGATTCCACAGACTGAGCAAGGGAAACATCTGAATCAGGAAAGGCAGGACCAGAACAAGAAGGCAGGGCAGCATCCAAAGAGGTGTGAAAGGCACGGGTCAACCGGTTGGTCAACCGGCCCTGTTTATTTATTTATTTTTTTCTCTTTCTTTCTTTCAGTGTGTATGCTGTATTTGTTTAATTTTATGTTTAATTTGTTCCACTTTAACTTTCTCAAGAGCATGAAATTCGTGTTTGAATCAAACTTCATGTTTAATATTTTAAAACATAAAACTGTTCAACTAGATGCACTTCATGTTTAATATTTTAACTGAAGGTGTAAAAGGGAAACATGGATAAAATTCTAGTGAGGAAAATGTCTGTCAACTAGATGCACTTTTACACTGCTCTAAGTTACATTTTAAATCAATTTTGGTGTATGTGGGATTGATATTGTCCCAAGTTCTAAATTTCAGTCTCCCTTCTGCTATTTTTATTTCATTTCCTTAACTCCTAGTGATTTCTGTCAACCAGGACTGATTTCTGAATTTGAGTCTCACTTTTACACTGCTCTAAGTTACATCCATTTTATTCAGCTTTTTCCCATGATGTTGCATTCCTGATTATATGCATGTTGGCATAGGATGTTTTCAGGATTACTGATGTTTTTTGGATTAGTATGCATACTGAAATATGGTAATATTTTTCCATTTTAATATGCATTCTAATATTAAAAGTATATTCATTTGAAATTCAACAGATTTTGACATCATGCCTAGAACTAAAAGAGCGAGACCACAAGTTGGTGAAAGTTCCAACCCTTCACGACGCGAAGAACAACAGCCTCAAATGCAGTCATATCCTACTGATGATTTTCTCACTAAAAGTCATGCACTAGCCTTTCCAAACTTCTCTGCCCGACTAATTGTTACAGGGAGAAGGATAAATCTTCCATCTCAATATGATGCACTATTAATTAGTAAACTTGAAGCAATGGGATGGCAAAACTTAATTAATTTTCCCCAAAAGGTATATCCATGGCTGGTAGCTCTATTTTATGTTCACCTAAGAGCTACTCAGGAAGAAGATGGAAATTTTACTCTTTTGTCGTATGTGAAAGGAAAAGGTATATAGTTTGATATTCCTACTTTGACAAGCATTGTTGGAGTTGAGTTAGGTGATGAAAATATTCATTTTCAGACTGAGGGTGAGTTAGCTAATATCGTTGGTAATGCTACTGATGTGTTTACTACTATTTGTCGGAATAGATTTACTAGGACTAGTTTACAAGCAAGACATTTCAAACCTCATCTTCGGATTCTCCATCGGTGGATTGTAGAAAATGTCACTCCAAAAAAAGGACACCATGATGCAGTCCCATATTTTAATGCCTATTTGTTATACTGTTTTGAAGTTGGTCAGAAGTTAGATTTGTGTTACATAATTATGAAAGAAATGGTACAGGCAAATCAAGGTCAATTCACAGGTCGGTCATTACTGTTTGGGGCACTCTTAACAAAAATTTTCAAACATTTTAAGGTTCACCTTGCAGATGAAATGGATATCAAAATCCGTTCACCTATTAATCAGTATACAGTGACCCGTGCGAGTGCAGCCTCCAATTTAATGGGAAGTGATAATGCTTCAGAAGATTCAGAAAATGAAGTCTCAGAAGATAATGCTCCACAAGATCCTTATGCCAATTTGATGCCATCAACTGAATAACCTCAATATTGGACTGAGTTTTTGGCCATGGAAGAACAACGTTATAATCAATGCGTTCAATGGGAATAGCAAATGGCTAATCAGGTCAATTCGTTGGGTAGTCAGTTTGATACATTTGCCACTGCACAGAACTCATTAATTTAACAATTTGGTGATTTCCGTGTGGACATTGAGCATCGCGTAGATACGATTGAGCATCGTGTAAATGATATATACTAGCACTACTACCCTTCTCCACCACCACCACCACCACCAGATAATGACTGTTGATGTGTTTCACATTATGTATTTGTATTGGTTTGTATTTTGTTATTTTAAAAACCTTTTGTTAGGTCAATTTGTTATGACATTGGCCTATGCAGTTGTTATCACTTTATATTGTAGTTTTTCATTTTAATGCCTAGTTGACAAAGGACATGATTATGTGCATCCTGAAAATGCGACAACAAGGTCATTATCCAGTTATGATTCCTCTTGTACAAATCATGTTATAGTAGTCAATGACTTCACTTTAAATATCATTTTATAGAAGAGGAGGTTAATTAAAAAAAAAAAACACATTGAACTACAGGCCAAAGATCTGTCTATGCAAAAAACATGGCAAGAATTAGGTATTGAACTTGAAATATGGCAAAAATACGTATCATGGGAAATTCATAAAACCAAAAAAACTAACCAATACACGTTAGATGTAATATTTTTAAATAATAAAACCAATACATAAAACCCACAAATATGGAACCTTTCAAGGCAACCTATTAGTTGTTCGAAATAAAATCTATCGTTGAAGATCTTCGTAGTACGCCTTTTGCATATGATTTAAATTTGTCATGTCCATAGACATAATTTTATGATCTTCATTTCGTTGTTCTCTTTCATTCATCATAGATAGGATTTTTAGTAGTTCTTCCCTATTTTCGGCCCTTCTTCGACGCTCTACAGCCTTCTGCGCACGGTCTATCGCCTTTTGTTTATCTCGTTGAATAGTTCTAGCAAAGATAGTTGATAATACTTCAACAATTTTGGATTGGTTAGCAGCCATTTCATCAAATCTACTATCGTGCGTTGTTTGATTCTTCAACTTCTCTTTCGCGGCCTTAGTACCAATTGGTCGTGTTGATGTATTAGATGGTTATTCGTGCACCGCATTATTCTGGTTAGATTGAGAAGCCTCATATTCACTTGGTGGATTCGAACACGGATCAGTATGTTGCGTGCTTCTTTTTGATCGAAATTCATCTCACTTACAACTTTGGTGCAAAATCTCCCAACATGTATCAAATATGAAGTGTTTTTTCTATATTGCATGATACATCCGCTTCGCTTCAGTGACCTACAAAAAAAATTACAAAGATTTCAATAACAAGTATACATTTAAAAAACAAATTTGACATTTAATTACACAAATAAAATTTACCATATCTGCCTCAGTTGAATTTGTTCAAGAAAATCAAAAAATTTATTAATTGCCTTTTGTATGGCAGACCAACGGTGAGTCAAAGAAATACGATTTCGATTTGATTCACTGCTCAATTGTGAATTAAAATAAACAAGTACTCGTTCCCAAAATATAGCCATACTCGGACTATTACCAGTAATGGGATCTTGAGAGACTGCTAACCAAGATCTACATAAAGTTTCATCTTCTATAATTGTGAATGCTTTACCACGAGAAACACGAGAAGGTTCTGAAATAAAATGATTATCATTGTTCTGCGTGTTCTGTTCTCGTGAAGATTCCGACATAAAATTAATATGAGTGTTATGCTCAAACATTTGTGATTCCTCAAACATTTTGAAATCTTCCATAGTTTAGAAAAAATACAATACACTTACTGAAAAATATTGTAATGATATGAAGCTCAAACTCAGGAGCAGATAATATTAATTAAAATTTCAAGGAAAACAAATATCTAATGACTGAAAAGAAAAAAAATTCACAACATATAAATGCTATTCTGAAAATGAAACACTATAGCAACTTGATATAGAAATGAGATCTATTTTATAGAGCACATCATCAACGGTAAATTTTCAAAATACTCTGTCCATCTGCTGTCCATCTAACGGTAAATTATTAACGGCTAGTTATGAAATATGTATGTCAAATATATTGCAAATTTAAATTTATATCACCCTTCAAATTATTGGTAATCCACAAATGAACATATGTCCAAAAAAATCAACTCAAACAAGTTGAAACAACCAGTTCAAACATGTTCCTCCAAGTTGTGCACTGTGCAGAATTGCCCAACCCGGTTGACCGGGTGGTCAACCGACCGGTCAACCACCCGGGTGGTTGACCGGTTGCTCTCGAACGGTCTCGAACGGTCAGCAATTCAAACCAATAGTTCAAACCAACCAGCTGAGGATTCAAACGAACCAGGGGCTGAAATGGTGCACCGGTCAACCGGTTGGTCGACCGATTGGTCAACCGGCCGGGCAACCGGTTGGTCGACCGGGTCCTCCCTCCAACGGTCACCAACAGTGTTTTGGTGAAATCAGTATCTTGTCGTCAGTTTGATGAATTGGTTGATGAAATCTCAATCTGATATGGATTTGGTGCAACCGTTGGAGCAGTGAACAGTAGCTTTTTCATCAAAATTTGAATTTGATATCAACTTTGGTGAAGCGTTGGAGATGGTCTAACGTGATCTAATAATTGCGCGTGCAAATTCTAATTAAAATAAAAAAGAAAAAGTTATCATATAAACCACCACTTCACTCTATGATAGATAATCTTATCTATATATTATATAAGAAAAATAATTTTTTTAACTTAGAAGCTTTGTAGGAACTTTAATATTCTAATCTTAATCTCTTAATTTTTTGATTTTAAAAAAAATAAAATTTCCCTCATTAGCCCACTGCTACCTATTAACCTAAAAACCCTATCACAGCAGCCTAAAGATTATTAACAAAAGGGTCTTTTTAACCCACAAGTCTTGTGGGAGCTCCAATAACATAATATTAATTTCTTAATTTTTTGATTTAAAAAAAAAAAATCCTTTCCCGCCCTTGCCCACTGCTACCTATTAACCTAAACCCTGTCACATCAGCCTAAAGATTATTAACCTAGATTCTATCACAGTAGCCTAAAGTTTGGGAGAGAGAGAATACTGTAACAACCCAGAATTTTAATTATTCTGTAAAATTTATAATAATATTATTTAATCACAGTTAAGAAAATATACGATTTATTTTGTATTATTATGTATAATTTTATAAAATAATATAATTATTAAAAATTTAGGAGTTAAAGTATAAATAGATAATTAAGTTAAGTTTGGATAAACTTGAATTAATGAATTAATAGGAAAGTGACACGTGACAACTTGGCTGGGTGGCCACGGCAATCTCTCCGAAAAAGTGAGGATTTGCTTGGGGTGAAGCAAAGGAAAGAAAGAAAGAGAGGAAAGGAAGGAAAAAAAATAGTAGAAGCTGAGAGAGTCTTTAATAATGGAAAGAAATAGTGAGGTATTGTTGGCTTTTTGGCTTTCGAAGGTTATTATTGTAATTGCGAGCGTGCTAGCAAGGATCAATCAGTCCTTACAGAAAATTAATTGCCAACCAATTATCAGACGATTGCGTTTTAGTTCTTTCAGCCTCAATGAAGAGGACTTTTACTGACGGCTTGTTTAGAAGAATTAAGCAAAATAACAATTAAATGAAAAATAGTTGAAGTATTTCATTAACATGAAAAAACTTACAATGATCCAAACTCTGCCTCGTAGAGGTTTACAACAACAATCTACTTGAAACTACTCCTATGAACGAAGTGTAGTGCAGGAATTTAAAGTACAGAAAATGTAAGACTGGAAATGTAAAACTGGAAAGAAAAATAAGTATAATAAGACTGGTTTTTTGGATTTGAGTCTGGGGGCTTTTCTGGGGCCTTCTCTGCTATTTATACTTCTCAAGGATGACCATCGAACTGCGTTTCCAACCGTCGAACTGCTCCTCCATGATCGCTGATCATGTTGCCTTGTAATTAGCCCACTAAGCCATCACTTTCAGTTAGACTTCTCTCCTAAATTTGAATTTAAATATGAGTAACCGTTGAAACCACATCACCTTGCATCTCTTTGTTGATTCACTGCTGCTCAAATCTCATAATAACCAATACTAACTGTCACATGTACAATCAGGATCAAAGACTTAAATAGTCTTCCTGTATTACCCTTATTCTGCCACGCGTCGAATTGTAATTGGCTTGTACAAAATATGTAGCCAACATTACCCCCCGCACTAATATACCCAATACTTGATGATATTAGTGGATCAAGATCTTTTATCCACGTCTTAGAACATGCATGGGCTTTGCATTCTCCCAGAAATGCAACTGTCATTCATCACCTGCATTAAACTCTCCTTCAATCTTTTGAACACTCCCACCACCTTAGTATTCGAACAGACAGATACACTTCCTATGGCCGAATCAACTTTCTCCTCCATTGATCGAGCACATGAAGAGTCATCTGATGATGTTGTTCCTCCTCGAAAGAACCTCCATGCATTAATTAGCCACATTTACCCACCTTTCTATATTCAAGTCATGGATGCCTTTACAAATTATCAACCTTTGGACTACGAACATATTGCCCTTAATCTTTTGATTCAAAAACTTACAAGTATGGACATGGGAAGTTCTTTTTCTGATTCACCCTTGGACTACAAACAAAATGCTCTCAATCCTTTGATTCAGAAAGTCGCAAATATGAACATGGAAAGTTCTTCTTCACAACCCTCTGCATAGGATAAGGCTGCAGCTTCTTCTTCTTCTGAGGCTTCTGACTGGACAAGCTAGTCAAAACCTGAGGTCCGCGATTTAAGGGAGCGAACTGGGTGGCCACGGCAATCTCTCCGAAAAAGTGAGGATTTGCTTGGGGTGAAGCAAAGGAAAGAAAGAAAGAGAGGAAAGGAAGGAAAAAAAATAGTAGAAGCTGAGAGAGTCTTTAATAATGGAAAGAAATAGTGAGGTATTGTTGGCTTTTTGGCTTTCGAAGGTTATTATTGTAATTGCGAGCGTGCTAGCAAGGATCAATCAGTCCTTACAGAAAATTAATTGCAAACCAATTATCAGACGATTGCGTTTTAGTTCTTTCAGCCTCAATGAAGAGGACTTTTACTGACGGCTTGTTTAGGAGAATTAAGCAAAATAACAATTAATGAAAAACAGTTGAAGTATTTCATTAACATGAAAAAACTTACAATGATCCAAACTCAGCCTCGTAGAGGTTTACAGCAACAATCTACTTGAAACTACTCCTATGAACGAAGTGTAGTGCAGGAATTTAAAGTACAGAAAATGTAAGACTGGAAATGTAAAACTGGAAAGAAAAATAAGTATAATAAGACTGGTTTTTTGGATTTGAGTTTGGGGGCTTTTCTGGGGCCTTCTCTGCTATTTATACT